ATGTATCACAGCGCTTTAAGGTTGCTGTAATTAAACGTTTAGTTAAGAAACATGACCTTGATTCAGGAATTCTGGCCAGATATAGACCTATATCTAGTCTAACATTGATCTCAAATAAAATGAATGAAAAAAAAAGCATTAACCTCAAAAATTCTGGAGAAAATATCTAAAAAAGTTAAGTCTGGGCATCTGGACATTCAAAAAACAAAACTAAACAAAAAAATTGTAGAAATGTTTCGTCTTTCATCCGACTGAAGAAGCCTTTCAGATGAAAGACGAAACGTTTCTACAATTTTTTTGTTTTGTTTTGTTTTGTTTTTTGAATGTCCAAAGGACCAAACTTAACTTTTTTAGATTTTTCTACCTGGATTACTGAGCATGCATCAGGATATTCTGGAAAAAATAGTTGCAGGTCAGTTGCGTGAAAATCTGTAAATAAATAATCTGTTTGAGGAGTTTCAACCAGGGTTTAGAGCTTATCATAGCACAGAAACAGCACTAGTAAAAGTAACTAATGATATTCTCATGGCCTCAGACAATGGACTTATGTCTATACTGGTCCTGTTAGACCTCAGTGCTGCATTTGATACAGTTGAATACAATATTTTACTACAGAGACTTGAATATTATATTGGGATTACAGGAAAGGCTTTAAATTGGTTTAAATCCTATTTATTTTAGATTCCAGTTTGTAAATGTAAATAATGAATCTGTTCCATACACCAAAGTTAGTCATGGAGTTCCTCAGGGTTCAGTGATTGTACCAATGCTCTTTACTTTAATTGTAATTCCATTACGTAAAGTTATTAAACAGTATGGGATAAATTTTCATTGTTATGCAGATGATACTTATATTTGTCCATGAAACCTGATGAATTCAGTCAGTTACTGTACTTAGATTACAAGCATGTCTTCAAGACATAAAAACCTGGGTTTACTTGTGGTTCCTAGAGTTTCCAAGAGTAGAATATGAGGCAGAGCTTTCAATTATCAGGCTCCTGTCTTGTGAAACCAACTTCCAGTTTCTGTCCGTGAGGCTGACCATTGTCAACTTTTAAGATTAGGTTTAAGGCTTTCCATTTCCATTTCCACAGGGCCTTCTCTGTAGCAGGACCAAGACGCTGGAACGAGTTACCTCTGTTTGTCAAACAGGCCCCCTCCCTCTCGGTTTTCAAGTCCCGTTTAAAAACTCACTACTATTCGGTAGTTTTCAACACCAGATGATCAGTGTTTTGATCCTGTATGCTCCACACTGGTTAGTCGTCATTATCTGCATCGTTTTTATGTCTATATTCTGATTTACCTCATTTTGTATTTTGCTTGGTGTGTTACCTGTTGTTTTGTCTGTACAGCACTTTGGTTGGCCTTGTCGCTGTTTTAAGTGCTTTATAAATAAAGTGGTATGGTATGGTATGGTATGGTATGGTATGGTATGGTATGGTATGGTATTTTGATCAATCCTATGGTTAAGGTCAGCTTGGGTTTGCTGAGCTATCCCTTAGTAATGCTGCTATAGGCTTAGACTGCTGATGGACAAATTGGCCACAATTCCTCCCTCTGTTGCTGCCTTTGCTTGCGCTACTCTGTATTTGTAATTATTTCTAGCCTTAACAAATGTTTTTTTTTTTGTTTGTTTTTGTTTCTTTTTCCAATAGGAAGTACACCTAGACCTATTCTATGTTTGTTTGTTTCTCCTTCCTGTTCTCTCAAACCATAGCCAGTCGAAACAGATGGCCGCTCATCCTGAGCCTGGTTCTGCTGGAGGTTTCTTCTTGTTAAAAGGGAGTTTTCCCTTTCCACTGTTGCCTTTGTGCTTGTTCAGGATGGGAGACTGTGACAACATGGAGATTCAACACAATCTGCTGTTTTCTTTAGATAAATAGCTATTACTAATTGGCTTTTAATATATGTGAATGGGCAGCACGGTGGCGCAACTGGTAGAGCTGCTGCCTCTCAGCGAGCAGGTCCCTGGTTCAAACCCCAGTCCAGGGGCCTTTCTGGGTGGAGTTTGCATGTTCTCTCCGTGCATGCGTGGGTTTTTTCCGGGTACTCCGGTTTTCTTCGACAGACCAAAAACATGCATGTTAGGCTGATTGGTAACTCTAAAATTGTCCCTAGGTGTGAGTGAGAGAGTGAATGGTTGTTTGTCTCTATGTGACCCTGTGATGGACTTGCGACCCGTCCAGGATGTACCCCGCCCCTCGCACAGTGGTTGCTGGACATGGGCATCGGCAACCCCCATGACCCAAAATGGAAGAAGCGGGTAAAGAAAATGGATGGATGTGGATGTTTTTGTACAATTCCCTGAGATGACTTCTGTTGGGACTTGAAGCCAAATTTTAAAAGTGAAGGGCATTGAATTGAATATTTTCCTCCAAAAACTTCAATATGTAATTGATGCTGTGTTTTCCAGCAATCTTCTCATACAGTGACAGGACATCAACAGTTTTCTGAAGCAAACACGATGAAAGTATGAGGTGAAAGCTTAAATTGTACATCTGACTGGTCAAATTCTTACTAGGCCTAGACATGCTGTGATAATGTCACAAGTCATTTATGCAATAAATGTTCTGTGGTTGTCTGGGTATTATCAGAATGCGATACAGAAAGAAAACAGCCCGTTCAGACTTGCAAATCTGTTACAAATCTGTTTTAGGTGGTTTGGTTGCACTGGCATTTCTGTTCACACTTGATGATAAACTGTGAATCCTGAAACATTTTGCAATCAGATGTCAGCTCCCTGCACTGGATCCAGATAAACACAGTCAGGCAGTCATTAAGCAACAAATAGAACATCAGCATGTTGATGTTTCTGAGAAAATGACACTACATTCAGGATTCTAAATTAATTGTTATTTTATTATTACCAGAGTTCAGAGTCCTTTGGACCGTATTTTTGTAAAGTTATCTCTTGATGACCTTGAATACCTGACACAAAAGAAATGACTGGTAAACCGATGTCCCCCGTCGCTGAGGGATCTGAACAGTAAATGTCTGTAGTTTTGGAAACGTGTTTTTCCTGTACTGGAACTGGACAGAGACTAAAAATAAATAAATACATTTTAAAATTTCATAATGTAGTTCCATTTTGGAAATTTTGTTCAAACTATGCACTGATGAATCCTAGATAAAAGCTACAAATGTCTCATTCCTCAAGTCCAGCCACTCCTGAACCAGAGACAACATCAGAAGCATCTTACCTGCTGAGGAAGAAAAGAGCTGAACTGTTACTCAAGTGGTCCAAAGTCCTCTTTTCTGATGAAAGTAAATGTTCATGTCATTTGGAAATCGAAGTCACAGAGTCTGGAGAAAGAGTGGAGAAGCCCAGAATCCACGTTGTTGAAGTCCAGAATGAAGTTTCCGGTCAGTGATGGCTTGGGGCCATGTCCTCTGCTGGTGTTGGTCTACTGAGTTTTCTGGAGTCCACAGTGAGCGCAGCATCTAGCAGGACATTTTAGAGACTTCATGCTGACGACTCTGCTGACGAGCTTTATGGAGATGCTGGTTTCATTTTCCAGAAGGACTCGGCACCAGCCCACACTGACAAAGGTACTAAAAGCTGGCTGTGGATTATTCTCATTTTCTGAGACTCTGAGTTTTGATTTTTCATTATTTGTCAGTTATAAGATTTTTCATTATTTGTTAGTTATAATCATCAAAACTGCAATAAATAAAGGCTTGAAATATTTCACTCTGTGTGTAATGAATTTGTGTAATGTATGAGGTTCACTTTCTGAAATGATCGACATAAAAGGAACTTTTTCATGATGTTCTAATTTTTTTAGCTACACCTGTATGTATGTGTGTGTGTGTGTGGGGGGGGGGGGGTCTCTTGGACTTTGACATGGCAACCTAACAGTGATCTTTCTTAGGCCTACATGCAGCCACACACCAAAATGGAAGTTGGCACACTGCCTATTTAAGTTATGCATTTCACAAAATGAACGGACATATATGACGGCAACCATTTTGTATTTCAACATGACAACCCAATTTTTGAAAGGAAACTTTCTTACACCTAGATGCAGCCACACACCAAAATGGAAGCCAGTACTTAACCTATTTATTAAATTATCATGCTCACAACGTGGACGAACAGAGGGAAGTTTCCCTCTTCGTTCTGTCACGGGGGACCATAAGCCACACACGCACTGATTACTGACTTCACATTTCACAGTGCTTCACGCACCAGTGTCAGAGGTTATGAGGGGTTCAGCGTCTCACAGCACACTGCCAGGAATCAAACCCCCGACTCTCTTGTTGGAGGACGACAGCTTAAACCATTGAGTCACAGCCACCCACAGAGGGTCCAAAAATAATCAGAATAAAGGTTAAACCTTAAAGAAACTCATCCATGCTACGTCCGATGACCCACTTTGATGAATAAAAACTTGACAAAATGAACATTTACAGTGAGAGGACATCAGATAAACAATTCATTAAAACTTTGATCTGAAAACAAACAAACCATTTTAATTTTAGTGTTTATGTGATGTATGAGAAACATGTTCCTTGTGTGATTTTGGAACATTTTTACCATGTTCACAGGATCACATGTGAACATGATAAATTCATGTTTTATTTTACATGGAGGGTCAATGAGTTGAGCCGTTTTTGTTCCTTTACATCCTGAGATGTCCGCTCTGCTGCATGTGTGGGGTCGTGGGAGTTCAGTAGGCGGTCCTCCAGCCTGGCTCAGGACAGCCTGCGTTCAGATTAACGTATAAAAAGCTGGTCTGAGGGAAAACGTTTCAATCTCAACTGGACAGCTAAAAAATAATTTTGAACGGCAGGTCTGAACAACCTCTGGATCAACGTGCTAACTTCAGATGATCTTTGTTGAAGCTGAAGCCCTGAAGCAAAGGGTCCTTTGGTCCTTCTAAACTGCAGCAGGTATGTGAAACAGTAAAAAGTACACCAAACTCAAGGCAAGATGTGAACATAGTCACCTTCTGCAGTCTCATGTAAGAATACAAAAGAGCAAGAGTTTGGACGTAACACTACAAAACAGTGCAAGGCTTCTTGTCCTTGAAGGGGTTTTCTGAGGCGGGGATGCCCATCAGCAGCGGGTCGTTCTTAGCATGCTCTCCACAGTAACGCATCAAGTCTGACGACGCCTTGGACACCTGCAGACAAATCAAATGCACAAATCAGAAACAGAAAAGTGTGCCATACGTTCACCACAGCAAACAAAGACCCACTTTTATCCTTTCGATGCTGGCCTCCATCCTCAGCTGCTGCACCGTCCGCCGGGCCTGAGCCGTTCTGCTGGAGCTTTGCATTCTGGGCGCCATCTTAACAGTCACACAGCTCTGCTTAAACCTGAGAGGAAAAAATACACTTCCTGAATGGAGCTCAAAGACCTCCATCTTTGTGGATGAAGGAAGTAAGACGTGGGATTAAACTTAAAACTCAAAATAAACTAGAGAAATGTATTTCTTGCGAAAATTCAGTGTGAATGCTTATTGCTGAAAAACTTGCAGAAAATTGCTGAAATTAGCTAAAAACATGCTGAAATGTGGCTGAAATGGAAGAACAAGCCTAAGCTAGCAGAAGAAAGAAAAAAGAACACATATTCGCTGAATGAGGTTTAAATAATCAGAAAGAAGCACAAAAATTGGGAAATTATCTAAAAAAAAGATGAAATTAGTAAAAAAAAAAAAAAAAAAAACAGATGAATATTAGCCAAAATGTCAGACAGAAGCTTAAACTACCAGAAGGAAGCGGAAGGAGCTGAAACGAGCTACAAAAAATGTGGAAATAGCTGAAAAAGCTCAAATTTGTGCAAAACAACTAAAAAGTAGCTGAAATAGCAGAAAAAACTGAGACTAGCATGCAAAAAAAAGGAAGAATAACAAGCTGAAATTTGCAGAAAGAAGTTAATTAGGCTAAAAATAGCAGACATTACCATGAAAAACTTGAATTTATCTTAAACAGCTAAAATTAGCTAACAAAATGCTTTAAAAAGTAGCTGAAAAGGCAGAACAAGCTTAAATTAGCAGAAGAAAACAGAAAGAACAATGAGGCTGAAAGTAGAAGAAACAAGCACAAAAAAGTGGAAATTATCTGAAAAAGCTTAAATGAGCAAAACCCAGCTCAAAAGTAGCTAAAAAAGCAGAAATAAGCTTAAATTACAAGAAGGAAGTGAAGGGAGCACAATAGTGTCCAATTAGGCTGAAAAGAGTTGAAATGACCATAGTGCAAAAAATGTGGAATTAGCTGTAAAAGCTAAAATGAGCATGAAACAGCTAAATAGTAGCTGAAATAGCAGAAAAAGTTTAAACTTGCAGAAAGAAGCTGAAAGAAGCAGAAAAAAACTAAAATTAGCAGAAAGAAGTTTGAACAAGCACAAAAATGTTGTAGGTAGAAATGATCTAACTGAACGGAGCACAAAACAGCTGAAAATAGCTGAAAGTAGCTGAAAAAAGTTTAAATATGCACAAGAAAGCTGAAAGAAGCTGAACCAGAACAAAATGTGAAAGGAGCAGTAAAAGGTTGTAACAGATCTAAAGATCTGAAGGATGAAAAATGAGCTCAATTCATTTTCTATGAGAACAAAACTGACAGAAAATACTAAATATTTCTAAAAGCTATAGCACCAATACCAAAAGTCATAGCAGGATTGTCCTGAATGAGCTGAACAGTTTGATATATTTGTTGAAATAGCTTAAAACTGCAGGATGAGAATCTTGCAGAGAAGCATAGGGAAGAAAAACGGATCACAAGAGTGAATGCTTCATAAGCACTCGTACAATAACTTAGTACTCAAAAATACATTCTGAGCCAAAATATCTGAACAAACTCTAACGAAACTTTTAAAACAATCATTAAATGCACATCTAACATTGACTAACTTTTGGAGTGAATTTAATTCAAGATGGCCACCACAGCTAATCAACGTTAGCAAACAAGGAAATTGCTATAAGTAGAGATTAGGTTATAATTTGATATATTAGTAGCAGAGAGTCATTCATAACAGACACTGAGGGTCAACAAATCATTCAACATCTGTCAGGAAACTTTGCCATTACTTATATGGAGTCAACTTTGTCTCTGTTAGCTAAATTTATGATAAACTGGACAGATTTTAATGAAACTTTCAGAAAGTAATCATTGGATGAACTACAACTGATCAATGTTTGGAGTCAACCTAATTCAACATGGTTGCCACAGCCAACAGACTTTACAATTTGTACTGAATTGTATTCAGTGAGCTACAATTTGATGTGGTAGTGGCTGAAACTGAAAGTGATCCCCAAACACACTTTGAGTGCTAACACATTGCACAACAACGTAGGATATCACCTAACAATTTCCTCCCGCACAACACAAAATGTTCACAAAGTCGGACCAGAGCAGCTATATCGCTATCATTTCTTTGCACCTCAAAGCCGCAGCCTTTTGTGCAAAGTTAGCGTCATATCTAGCACCGACATGTCCATGTTTTGTCATGTGTTGCAGGTAGAGAATTGCAGAAATGGGTATTTTATCTTAACAAATGAATGAAGCTAATGAGAGCAAACAAAAAGCCACGTCAGAGTTTTTACTTTGTGCAAAGAAAGGAAAAGCGATCCCTCTTCTGTTTGTTCAAATGCTAGTTAATGAATGGTAGGCTGGCTACTGCTGGTGGGGAGCAGAAACAGATAATTGACACGGCTGCGTGCAATTTCTCAGAAGTGACTGTTGACTAAATGTTCAACTGGCTCCAGCTACGTAAGAAGCCTTGAGCCAAACTAACAGACGTTTGTTTCATCAGCTCCACTTCCAGGATGTAAAACGTTTGCTTCTACCGGCTTCTTGCGTCACTTCTTGCTCCAGTTGGAAGGAGACGCTGTGCTACTTTTTCCTTGTTACCCATAGCCAACTGCTGCACAGAACGCAAAGAGGAAACACACCTTGTTGTCTCCTGTCTGGTTTCTGCACAGAAAAAAAAAACTACAACAAAGAACTTCTGATGCAAGAGCAACAGAACATGAAGGGTTTCGTTCAATGCCAGAACCCTCTTTACACCCCACAATGGTGCAGCTCTGATCAGGTCTCGTTCCTGGAACAAATGAAGAAAACCCCAGCAGGAAGTGGCTCGGAGGGACTGTGGCATGTGGAGCGGTAAATGTTTGCTCAGAGCTCCGGTGCCGGATATGATGGAGGAGGGGAACATGTGGAAATGCAGGCGAGATGAAAACATGGACAACTAGACCCAACTACAGAGAGGAGACGAGACCATGCATCCCTCTAATCCCTCCACCCACTCCCCTTCCGCTTCCTCTGCAGGAAACGGGGTCGCCTGTTCCCCTCCACGGCATAAATGATTAAATATGGGGTGGAAGCTTTAAAAATAGCAGCTCAACACAAAATAGCAACCATAAAAAGAGCTGGTGCTGTTATAAATAGACAGCAGCGCTCCTTTGTTTTCCTACAGACTTCTGTACATTGAAAGCACAAGCCGTCGTGTCAGACAACAAGACACAATCTGCTGTCACGGGATTTCTTTCTTGACCTTTGGACTCGTTGTTCCAGGCTGTATCTCATGTGTCAACACAGCTGTATTGTTTAAACCCACAACAGCAGCAGCGAGGCATGAGTGGAGAGCTGCGTCACAGCCGTGTTGTAATCTCCGCATCACTGCTACGACAGACCTCAGAGCGTCGCACAAAAACTAGTAGTGACCTTAAAGCACTTGGTGGCGTTCGGAGTGAACCTTTCAACCCATTACAGATCGACACAGTCCGAAAACTCATCGTTTAAGAAAATAGCTTAAACAAGATGCATGCCAGAGTCCCCCGTCGCTGAGGGAGTGAGGGAGAAGTGAATGTTAGTGGTTTTGGAGATGAGTGTTTTTCTGGACAGGAACTGAACGGAGAGTGAAGCAAACCTGAATGTTTTTGGTTGAAGGTATTTAGGAGGACAAGAGTTACAGGGAGGTTTTTAATTTTCTTCTCTGAGGCAGAGCAGAGTGATGGATCCTTGAGAGAGGAGGGAGACATTTATCCACCACCAGGAGCAACGAAGGAGCCAGGTGGGGGGCTAATGGTGGCCTTGACCACCATAGATTAATCTTTGGCCACCCCAACATTTTTAAGAAACTACACTTTTAATCAATATAAAAACTAGAAAGTGTAGTTTCCCCAAATGATAGGGGTGGTCAGATTACATATATGGTTGCAGCCATCTTGTATTTTGACATAGCAATACCTCGCTACTTTGCAGTTCGACTTTCACGCACTTGCTCTTTCATGGTTTTTCAAAGTAAGACTGGGCATGACATACAGTTAGATGATTGATGGATGAGCCACACGATCAGCATGGATTTTTAATTCAAAATAAATTATTTTAAATTATTTAGCACCTGCTGCACTTGTGTGCAGCCCACAGGTGCAGGGAGAAGCTTCCTCCTGCAGCGTGTCAATCTCCACTCTGCAGTGGAGAAGTGGGTATGGCAGAGAGAGCAGAGATCAGGACATTCTGTCTCTTAGAGCGTTTAGAGTTTAGAAACATTGTTTAGAATATTGCAAGAGTGTAGGAAGGGTTTAAAACCCCTTAATATATACTGTATATACATATATATATACGTATATATATTTTTTTTTTTCCATATTTATATATATAAATATATATATCAGCCATCCCTAGTAAATTGTACTTCCTAGTTTTTATATTGCTTAAAAGTATAATTTCCTTAAATGATTGGAGTGGCCAAACATTAATCTACGGTGATCAAGACCTCCACATAAGCTTCACCCGCTCAATGTTTAATGGACGCAGTTCAGCAGTAACATGATCCAGGTTAGACAAAAGATTAACAGCTTGAGTTCATTAAGTGCTTTTTGCTTTTCACCTTCTCTGAGTTCATTAACCATATGAACATTTCTGTAACAGCATGCGTTTACGTACCAAACTCAAGCTTAATTCCCTTGTTATTTATTTTGAACAGAATCAGGGTCCGTCAGGAACAAAGTGTTCTTTTCTACACCCCAGCAGCACAGAGAGACTTTTGAAGCCTATATTTACGTTGACAGTGAACACTTGTCCCCCCGGGTCAGATGGGCCTCGTGGCATATCGTCTACAGTCAGGAGGTGAACAGGTTTGGGTCCAAACCTGGCAGGACTGCAGAATCACTTGCAGAAGAGACCGTCTGATCTGGCAGTCAGGTTTACAGCAACTGCTGCCCCTGACAAACTACATATTGAACAAATCATTTCACTTGTCTTAGTTGTCAAGTCCACCAACAAGGACGCAAAATAGTTTTCAATTAGAAGTCATCTGTATAGGCACTGGCTTCCTGCAACCCAGTAT